TAGTGTATTGGTTGACTGGTTTATGTGTTTTTTTGTTTGTAGATGGTGTTCTGAAGCTCATTGCGTCTTGTTTTTACTCTTTGAACGAAAGAGAACGAGAAGCCTATTTTTAAGATATACGAAGTATTTTAAGGCCCTGGTGCCATACTGAAAATTGCCAACTTTTGTTATTTATAGCTGCTGTAAGGTTTTTCTCGTCTCTGTTGTGGAATTAATGACTAGGAACTTTAACCGCCATTGGGACGTTTTCATGATAACAAAAAAATTTGTTGTATTGTGTATTTTGTAGCTCTACGTAGAAGAAACAGTCAGGGATGAGGGAATTAATTACTAATTATTAAAAAATTACAGACGAATCAGGTAAGGGATTTTCAGTTCAATTGGTTATCATTGAATAGTTCAGCAGAGATTGAGGCCAGCATGTCTGGAAAAGGTTAATTTTGTTGAGGTATTTTTCTGTTGTGTAAGCCCCGTAAAGGAACTACATTCTTAACCTAACACGCAGCCATGTTGATTGATTTGTGACTAAGCCAAAAAGATTACCTTATTCTGTTCGTCCATCAGTTCTGTGTCAGATTGGTTCCTTCAAAAATATTAATTTTATGAAAGTTTGGTTAGAACGTCTCGGAATTCTGTAGGTGCTTGCTCTTCCAGCTTATTTTATTTTAATTCTGATTGTTTAGGAAGTCATATTTTTTTCCAAGGATTACTGCTTTTACAAATTTTCTTTGAAGCGTCATGTTTGATTAATGATATTCTGATGTTTTTGTTTGATTTTTCTAGTAATATCGTGTTTCTTACATTTTTTTCTGCTTATGCTACATATCTGTTCATTGCAGGAACCTTCTGACTGGCGTTGTCGAGGCCCAGAAATGGTCCTCTCATATAACATTTTGGGACATGTTTTTCGACGTTCTTTTATACTTGGGAAACGTGATGCTTTAGTAGCTTTAAATTGTCTGCAAAGCTCTCCCGAAATAACAATTCAGAAACGTGGGATCTTTTTTCGATTTGCAAATGAAAAGCCGCCAAGGGTTGTTGGCTATTACCTGACGTAAATATTATTCCTTATACTTAGATCTTTCGGTTTATAACCAAGTGTTATGGTTTCAAAGTTAAAATTATTAAGCGTCATTTTAGACCTTTTTTTGTTATCTTTCTCTTTTCAGTTTGCCTTCTGTACCGGACCAATCAGTTTCGAATAACACTTTCATGGCTGGTATTGCCGCCGGCAATGATTGGCCATCCTTGACATCATCATCCCGTAGGGTTTTCTTATCTATTTTTGAGTCACTACCTGCCTCATCAGTTCTGGTTATGTTTTTCTTTCCACATTGAGCGTATGCTTTGGTCCATCTATATCAGAAATGAAAAAGTTTTCAGTGGCAGTTTTTGACAAATTTTGTTTTATTTTGACTTTGCTGCAGCCAAGGAAGTTTATGAGGGAACTATTCGTATGCTACTTGACTACGGTGCCGCTGTTTTGGAGCACGTAGAACATCTTAAGGAATGTAAGGATAGGATTGGTTCTCTTCATATCTTTAACGCTTTCACTGAAAAAACACTTAAGTTTTCAAACACTTCGACTGTTCTCTGCCAAAATTGCACACTTCTGAATATTCATATTTCAAGTTTTAAACTCTCACGGTCCGTACCTCAGGATGTTAGTATTGTAAAACCGAGGATTACCTCGCTAGTTTCCTTCAATGGTTTTTAACGTTTTCTCAGACTGACATGACAAAGCAAGTTCTAGCTTAGCACGACCAAATTTGGAGGTCTGCTATTTTTCAGTTTTCGGTAAAATTAAAAAGTTTGAGGTTTTGAAAAAAGAATAATTTTACTTCTAGAGTGTTTAGAAACGTTTGGTTTTTATTTGGAAATGAAAGTAATGTAGAATTTTGTCTTTAAATTGGGTTAACAATGTTTATACCTCAATTCTTTAAGCTGTTGTGTTTTACGTAGAATTTTCTCCTCTGTGAAATTACATAATTTTCAGTGAAGAATTGGTAGATAAAGCGACACTGGTCTTTAAAAGTTTATCCCAATTTATCAGTATTAGCTTTTCCACCATTGCTTCTCTTTAATGAAATCAGAGTTTTTCACCATTTCTGCGAGCGCTCGATCGCAATGATGAACTGGTGAAATGAAAGGAGGAGCACATCGAATTTTTAATACCCTTCAGCGTGTTTGGAGAAGTGGTTTTTTATTGAACTTTTTAACATAACGTATAATGATGACTTTTCAACATGCCTCTGGACCAAAATATCCTTTTACGGTCGATCTCGTTACTACGTAATTCTATCCCCTGTATCGTGATCTATCCGCCGTTTTCAGCCTCAAGTTAGAAATTGCAGAGTTTCTTTAATACATGAGAACTTTACAAAGTGTCTTCAAGAAAACCGGAAGGTAGATAGGTATTATTCCATTTGAAAGAGGGAAGTTTTATTTTATTTTCTGCGTATTCTGCGTTCGCATAATTAAAATTAAGATTTTAGACAGATTCAGGAATTAGAAGAAATTTTTCTGATAAATTGAATAACATCTTTTTCTGACACCGAGAAAGTTACAACCCTCCAGCATTCCTCGTTTTGCACTGAAAACTGCCAAGTTGTATCAGTTTTGGACTCTAAATTTTATTGAGATTAGCGAAGTAGGTTTCTTATTTTACAATATTGACGTCGTAGGGTACCAACTACCAAAGTTTTTAAAAAACTTAAGATTTGATTTTTCAGAAGCGTGCGATTCATCGCGGAGTGGCTCATACATTTTTGATTTCCACTCCCCTGATTCCTTAGGAAAAACCTGGGGACAGTTCCTTTAGACTTATCATTAGTTTTAACTGTTCTGTTTTCATCTTATTTAAATTGCTTTTGCTATTCCTGTACCGCTTGCAATTTTTCTGCCTTATCAACTTTAATGTTAGGAACTTTTAGTGAAAGAAGGCGAGTTAAATTTTGCTAATGTTGTGGAACCATTGTTGGAAAAGGAAAAAGATATTATGTACGCCTTTCACACTATGTTGTTGAAGATGTATACTGATTGGCCAATGTGTAGTACCCAGGAATTTTCTGCTGATGTGTACCATGTATATTCAAAGCATTTTCAGAAGCTGTTATTTGTTTATTAATTATTGTTCTGAATCTATTTAGGAAATTTGAGTACTTGTTTCTTTTTTTTTTCGTTTCTGAAGCTAATTCAAAAAACTCAAAGAAATACCTTTCCTTCAAAGCTCCTGACTGCTGAGTATGAACAAAAAATGAAATTTCAGGCGAAGTATACTTGTGCGCGAGAACAACTGAATAAACTCGCTTACCCAGAATTCCAAGATGCTATAAAAGTATTTTCAGGCATTATTTTATCATAAAGGGTTTTAAACTTGCTTGTTCATACAAAATCGTCAACTTTTTGTTTAGATTTTGGGCATTTATGCTGCAAAAGTGATTTTACGGCTCCTCCTTTTTATTTTCCTTTTTAGTCACTTTACTCGAGAAGAGAAGGTTTAACTAGTTGGCAGTTTCGTTTACTAGAGTTCTACATTTTGGAGATGAAGGCTCTCGGTTTAGACATCCGAGTTCCTAAACAGTGTAGAGTAATTAACTCTTGGATTTCTACTGCGGAGTCTTATCGAATTAGTTACTTGTAAGTTTTCTCACAGAAAGTTCTTTGCGCAAAGTACTGGGAACTATTGAAAGCAATGAAGGGGTTACTTGATGATATTTGTCGTTTTCTCAACACTGCCTTTTTTGTTTCATCCGGCCAGATTTCAGTGTTCGACTACTTTCTGTATTACAGAGGTTCAATTATGTCTACAAATGATCAGAATGTGTTTAATGTTACTGACCGGTCTACCTTATCTGATGCGCCTCCTTACGTTTTAAAATTACTTGCCGTAGACGAGTAAGTTTGAAGACCTTT